GCATGATTGTTTACAAATTAATTTACTCACATTTAATTAATACTCGAAATCTAACACACATATACACTATCTCAATATTATTATTCATATCATTACATATAAAAATCAATCAATTTTAATTCATCATTCATCCATTCACATGATTTTAGCTAAATATCATTTCCAATCATTTATCTCATACTTTTACATCAAATCAATTTTAATCATTCTATTTTAAATATTATTTTAATACATTCTTCATATCCCCTAACCACTAACCATGTCACACTTTTCAAAATTACCTATGTTTTTTTTTTTAAAAAAAAAAACGAATTATTTGATAAAAAAGCGCGCTCCACTCCAAACTATGGATCGTATCGTTCATCAATGAGATTCAATATATGATTATAATATTAAAAATATAAATAAAAATACCAAAAATCTATATATAAATATAAGAAATCTTAAAATAATTATGAAAATATTGAATATAGAAAGATGAATATAAAATAATAATTTTGATGTTTCAAACTTCCCCATAGAGCTATTAAATGAAATAAGTCGCTTGCGAATGTAGTTTGACTTAACTTTTTAGTTAATAAATTGAGCAGAGTTTGGCTCATTAATGTATGAAATGGCGATTTTTACATATCTTTTTAATTTTTTTAACTTTAAATGAACTTTAACTCACTAATAAAAACAAGTCAAGTTAAGTTCGTTTAAATTAACGAGCGAGCTCGTGTCCATAAAATCTCGAGTACGAGCTCGAGTATCCCAAATTCAAGCTCACCACTACTTCCAACCTCGAATTTGTTTGTGTTGTATACTTGTATTGTTGCATGTAAATTGCTCAATGGGATTTCATAGGGTGTGATTCCAAGTATTGAATTGGACTCATACATTGAGCTTAAATTAATACAATATAATACACATTGGTTTTGATTATAGAGTAATGTTCACCTATCTACGGTAGACACATGTTAATATGTCCACCGTTTATGTGGCATGCACACATTGGTGATGTATTTTTTTGAATATATTAACATCACCAATATGTGCATACCACATGAGCGGTGGACATATTAACATGTGTCCATCGTGGGTAGACGTGCGGGGAAAGAAGTGTATATTATCATTTCAACTAGTAATGCAAACTCTAGGGGAATTATTTCAAAAGAAACCACGTGCGCAACCCCAAAAAATCAACTTCAAGATCAAAATTCAAAGATTATTGGAGAAATTTTGTTCATCTTGACTAGGGTACAACTAACATGGATTGGTGGCCAAATTAAAGCAATGTTTGAAATACGAGGGCTTCAACTGAATTTATAGAATGACTCTGGGTCGAGTTTATATAATTTTTATTATATTTTGAAATATTAATCATGCACCTTATTAACTGGACTAATTAAGCTGAAAAAAAAAAAATAACAGTCAGACAAATACATAAATAAATAAAAAAACTATTGACATTTTAACCATTGAAATCAAGAAATGTCAAAGTCAACTTATTGACGATTGTTATAAAAACTTATAAGTCAGCCAATTAAGTTGTTTTGTACTATATTTTTCTAAGCTTTTATTAAATTGACATTTTATTTTGGGAGTAATTAAATTTCTTTAATTTTGCTTATATTTTACTTAACAAAAAAAAAAAGAATCAATTTTTTATATATGTTATTTTTTAAGTATTGATTTGAGTATAAAATTATGTCGAAAATATTTTTCAATATTGCAATTTCAATACATAGTTTCAAAACACCATGGTCTTATATTATGATCAATAAAAAGAAAAACAGCTTATGATCTTACTGAATTAAGAGTGGTACGAATGAGAATACTCGTCTTTGACTGCTTGAATTTGATGAAAAACAAATTTTCTTTCTTTTCTTCTTTCAATTTTTTTACTTTATCTTTATTTGTTGTTTGTTTTTACTAGGGTTGATTAATTGTTGTACTCTAATGATAGTATCATTCAATGCTTAGGGTAGATTTCACTCTACCGATGTTGGCACTGTCCAAATCGAATATAAAAATGTAGAATCGACACATTCGTACGGATGTGTGCGCGTACAATACAATGGCTCGAAACTCAATGTGAGTACTTACTGATCAGAAGTGTCGAATTCTTTGTTGCGGAATTTGTCAATTTGTCATCTTTTTATTCATGACTCGTTAGAACTGTCGTCCTGCGCAAGTTAGAGAAGCTTACACAACCTTAGGTTTGTTAAATAAAATAAATAACGATACTCTTCTTTTTTAACTAGATTAATCTGACGGATTTACTCGGGAACCGTTCAACTCTGAGCCAGGATAGGCCTGTGGGTGATTTGGATTTGATAACAATGGACCAGATCAAACCTATTTAAAATCGGTCGACCAGACCTTGACCTGGCCCACTACTTAACCACTATAAGTTTTTTTTTGTGGTTTTTATTTTAAAAATAAAGCTTATGTATATATACATTTATGCGGTAAATATTTATTATGAGATATTGTATTATTAATACTCTGATGTATAAAATTTACATATAAATTACTTTTTTTTAAACTTTTATTAATATTTAATTATATCGTAAAAGTATATATAATTTCCAAAAGTTGTTACCGTTCACCCGATAATACGACGGTTAAATGGGTCGGGTTTAAAGCCAAATTACTACTTAAATAATTGTAATGTTTTATACTAATAATAAATTACAATGATGAGACAAAGAGGGGTGGGCTTTATCCGGGATAAGTTGTCGGGTTGGTATTGTCATCTCTGCCCATTTGGAAAAAAGTGGCCCAACAACATTATCGTGTCTCTTTGCCGGCCCCACCTCGAGACCCAATTTAAAAAATTATTGTCATTGCTTCTTTTTTTCTTTGTTTGAAATAAATTTTAATTTTATTTTCCATTTTACAATATAATTATACAGTTTTTTTTGGTTGCTAGTCACGGTATCCGGAGCTATGCTCCGACTAATTCGTTGGTCGACCCGGGTCGCACACTTGGCAGTGGTGGGTGAGTCTCCCAGCAAGGGTTTTCTGCATTCACAAGGACTCGAACTCGAGACCTTGTTTAAGGAACATCAAGTTGCTTACCACTTGAACCAACCATCATGTGGTACAGTTTTTTTTTTTTTTAAATAGAAATAAGAAATTAGGTTACAAATGCTGCTGTTTTGACAATTTATTTTTCTTGAAATAAAATAAAATAAAATAATAAATGTAACAGACCAGCTGTTTTTCTTGAAATAATCAAGCATTTAATTCATCTTTGGCCAAATTTATTGCATACTGTTTTCCTGGAAACAGTAGTCAATACACTATGGTCTTATTCAACAAAATTTCTTTTTAACTTTTTGCAATATCATGTTCATGGCCCATGATTATTTTGTGCACTAAATTAAAAAATAACCAAATTTAACTAGTGATGAAGAGTAGAAAACAAACATATTGCTAATGAATATAAATATATTATAAAATTAAATATCAAATCTCAATTGTCAAAAAAAAAAAAAAATATATATACATTATAATACTTTTTCTAAACGTAAACATAAAAATTAAGTCGATTTTGAATTTATCGACAAACGTTTTTCGAACGATTCTCACTTGTTTCACTTTTGAAAATACATTATAAGAGCTTTTTTCTGAACATAAACATAAATTAAGTCGGTTTTTAAATTTATCCACGAACACTTTTCGAATCATTCTTAATTGTAGTGTAGTACGCTTAGTGCAGTTAAACTAAACGAATTTGGCTCGGCTCGGCTCGGCTCGAGCTTTGCTCGTTAATGCTCGTGTTCGAGACTTTAACGAATCGAACTCGAGCCCACTTAAAGTTCGTTTGGTTAACGAGTCGAGTTGACTCGACTCGATAAGAGAATTTTATATAATTTTTTATAGTTTAACTTGTTAAAACTCGAGATCGACTTGTTCAAGTTCGAGCTCGAGACCTTAACGAGTCAGAGATGGAGCTCGCCTCGTTAAGTGCTAGAGCTCGAGCTCGACCCAACTCGTTTACATTCCTCACCACATCAAAAATTTTAAAAGAAGAAAAAAAAAATTGCAAAAAGGCCAAAGAAGCTTCTTTTTGTGCATCAACAAAAAAACCAGTGCTCTTTTTGAGGTGCCCAAAGCATTAAAAAGAGGAACCAAAATATAAAAAACCTCTCACTCCCCTTTAATTAAAGTATTTTCTAACAAAATACTTTCTTTCTTGTTCATTCAATACATAGCCAAAAAAAAAAATCCCATCTTTTCAGAGTTTCAACTTGAGCTGCAAAA